ACTTACACTTACACTTAATATCTATATTAATGCCTACTGTGGGACATCCATCAGTCAGCATGCACTCCCCTTCTATTCCTTAGCTGTTGATCCCGACAGAAGAGCAAAAATTCATCAACAGTATATGGCGGATTATGAATTAGGACATCTCTTATTTCTTTTATAAACTGTTTTTTATCATGTACTAAGTTAGATAAATATCCGGGCAGACTGTTATATATTTTTATACTCGTGCAATGGACCCTTTTGTGCCTCATTGCGAGATGTGATTGTAGGACATGTAAATTTCTTTCATATCTTATTGGTCTCTCATAAATTGAATAATTAAAAGTAAAATACTCCAAATTATTTATCATAAACGTCATCAGAGATAAAATATATTGAGACACCAGTGTTAATGTATTTAACTTTATAAATGCTGGCCTACATGACTCTATGTTTCATCCCCTTTATTATTCTAATAGTCTTCTTTTGTAAGAGAAAGATCTTCTTGGCCTCTGACGAACTACCCCAAAAAACTATTCCATATCTCATGAGTGAATGAAAGTATGCATGATATATCATTTTAAGTGTTGTAACATTACTGTATGGTTTCATAATTTGTATTGCATAACATGCCTTTCCCAGTCTGGGTAACAATGATTCAACCTGTGTCTTCCAATTCAAGAACTTATCAATTTCAATGCCCAAAAATTTAATATGAGTTTCCTCTTGTAATAATTCATCGTTAAACTTTAAATGTACAGGCATACTGTCACGATTGATTGTTTCAAATTTTAACACTTTAGTTTTCCTCAAGTTTAGGGATAAGCCATTGTATTTAAACCACTGACTTAAGGAATTTAATGTATGTTTAGACCTTTCTTGAATTTCATTGATATTAATACCTGACACTAATATAGTTGTATCATCAGCATACAACAATGATTTGTTGTCAGTACTTAATGCTGATGGCAGGTCATTAATATTGTGACGTGTCGCGCTAGCTGGACCCCCCCCCCCCCCCCCCNGCCGAGCGGAGCCGAAGTTAGCCGAGTCTCAGCGTCCTGGTAGCTATGCAACGCGAGTCAACAGCGGTGACGTAAGATGGTGTGAGGTAACAGCGTTGCTAGGCTATACGCAAACACGGCGACGTGGCACCGATTCCTACTGTGAGAAGGCACTCATTACGCAACAGGCAAGCACTGTGGCTATATAAGGGAAGTACACAGCAGCTACGAGTTAGTTGTAAAGTGGCCATCGCCGAGTTCACTTCCGAGTTAGTTTCGAGCAAGCCTACGAGCAAGTGTGTTATCAACAGTTCTCAAGGCAGCTACCTACGAGTTAGTTCCGAGAGTTCCGAGTTAGCCAGCAACCAGTCAGTTGTATTCTGGCGTTTGCAGTGTAGTATTTGTGATACTGCCGATGGCAGTAATTGTCAGATTGTAATTTGGGTGACTGTAAGTGCGAATGTGAAATAAAATTCGCTATATCAAATACGGCCTGAGTTATTTGTCGCGTTATACACCCAACACGTGACAATATATAAAAGGAACAACAAAGGACAGAAAATCGAGCCCTGTGGCACTCCATATTTGACGGTTCCCCAGTCTGAACAGCATTTACCATTTTCATTATTATAGAGTTCAACTCTTTGTCTTCTATTTTCTAGATAGGACTTCAACCATATTTTTATTTTACCACCAATGCCGTATGTTACTAATTTACTCAAAAGAATATCATGACTCACACAATCAAATGCTTTTGTCAAATCACAAAAAATTCCCAATGAATGATTGTGTCTTTCCAACGTTTCTAAAATATGATTAGTCAATGTATATATTGCCATTTCTGTGTTACTGCCTTCTCTAAATCCAAACTGTGCAAAAGACATTAAATTGTTTGTATATATGTGTTGCTTTATCCTATTGTACACCACTCTTTCAAAAATCTTAGAAAAACTTATTAGCAATGATATTGGTCTATAGTTTGCTATAATTGCCTTCTCACCAGTACATATATTGTAACTTACAGAAGCACTGGCTTTCCAGCTAATTTTTCATGTGAAAGAAGATTCTCCAACACACCACGACCTTCTTCCAGCCTAGACATATCACTTGCATCCACAACAAAGATTACACCATGGACCTACAAACAATTTTGGCACATCAGCAAAATAAAATCATCAAGTGTACCATGTCTTTAATCTCATCCAATGTAAACTAATTTACCTACATCCACAAAATATCGATGCCAGATTTCTCTGATTTGTGGACCTCCTCCCAAGTCATATATTACAACACAGTAGCCCCGATGAGTCAAGGAAACTGAGGAAAACCCAACAGTCGGTACAACTGTATCAAGTGGCTCTGAAAAATGTTAACATTATATGTATCAAAATTAAATAGGAAAATCTACTCACAGAACATATTAAGCAGTTTTTACTTACCACCTACAAGATTCTTTGCAGCTGTTGTCTTCCCTGCATTATCTAGACCAACCAATAACAATACAATCTTCCTGTGAAAGTAAAATGGTTAAATCAGTTCGACGGGCCCGTTCCTAATACCACTGTATTTTAATAATATCACATAACAGTTTTGTCAAGAACCTTACTTTTGCTGGCTTTTGGATGTTTTCGTTAATCCAAATGGATGACAACAATTACCCATTATTATAAATATACGCTTTCATACTTATACATTCTCACCTCCACGTTTTCTACTGGTCAAGGTTACTTACTAAAGCCCACATCACACGAAAATCAACAGCATGACCTAACAATGCCTTCACCAAACGCCATTGAACATAAACAATTCTGAAGCCCCCTGAAGACAATTTCCCAACGCTATTGGACTGCACGACATAAATAATTCTAAAGCCCCCTGAAGATAATTTCAACAGCATGGCGCATTTAATATGATGCTCTTTGAACTGTCTCATTTTACACGATGAGAGAAATTACTGTCATTCCTATTACAGTAGCTAATTGTAGGCCTTTTAACAATTGTTATTTACTAAGTGTTGCGCCCAATCATAATAATAATAAATAATGATCCAGAAATACTGAAGTGTGTGCGTTCATAGTTCAGAACAGAAATGCGCTGCGACGGATGCCATGGTTGTTCCAACCTTACTACAGATTTTAGAAAAATGAGGTGTCAGGTTGTGGGATCGATTGAGCAGGCTGATCTAGCTGTAACGCTCTAGAGTTTTATTCAAAAGAGGTTCGGTTGAAATCACGACAGGGACACCGGCCACACAAGTTTTCTCTTGTTTTCTTCAGTCCCTCCAGGCAAATGTCGGAATACCTTGATAAGGCCATGATTGTTTCCTTCAAAATAACTCCCAGTTCACAAATTATCTTACCATTGAACATTATACAGTTCGGAAACTGACAGCGCCGTGAAATAAACTTCAACAAATATATAACAAGGAATATTTTGACCTCAGATCTGCTTAAGAAGGACTCCGTCCTGTGGACTTGGTTTGAGGGAAAACATAATCGTTTTCATACAATTCATCGTACAAAAAGAATGGTACATAAAACAAAATGCATGTATATGTGCATATGCATACTCGTGTATGTGTACCTTATCATGCGTGATGGTGCAAGAGATTGTTTGCAGCCAACACTTATAAGAACTTCTTCTACATTGCGGGTCCCTTTGTGACATTAGTCCAGTTGGAATCACTGCAATGATGGACAGAAATGCCCGTGTGATATATACAACTGAGAAGTGTAGCCATGGTACTGCTGAATTCTCCATGTGTTTATTTTTCATTCATTGAACATTATGCCCTTCTGGCGTCCGATGGGATGATCTTGAATAAAATAGAAAGGATGTGGACAGAAGCAGCAATCTTCGTCTGCTTTAAGGAACGCAATATTTTTCTGGAATAACTTAGAAAGTCCGCGAGTTATGTAAATAAGACAGCCAGCATTCTTGCCCAGAATCGAACGCGGATTCTAATGAATACGAAGTATGGGTACTAACCACTTAACCGCGGCTGACTTCAAATTGTTGTTAGGGCAAAATATACCAAAATACTCGTAGTTGGTTGAGGGGCTATGCTACAAGCCGGAAGGTCGCGGGGTTCAAGTCCCGATGAGGTCATTGGATTTTTTTCAATTGACCTAATCCTTCCAGCCGCACTATGGCCCTGGGGTTGGCTAAATCTCTAACAGAAATGAGTACCAGGAATTAATTAAGTAATTTTCCTGGGGAGTAAAGCGCTGCCGAAACGTAGGGCTGACAACCTTACCGCCATCTTTGAGCCGACTGTCTAGATCAGTGCTTCTCAACCTTTATGAGACCGCGGCCCAGTAAGTTCTTTTTTTATAAGACGAGGGCCCAGTCCCAACAGATTTACTAGTAAATACCTTTCCAGTTTTGTTAAAGTTCGTGCATTAAGCTAACGTAATATTAGTAATTATTTATAGCGTAATCATAAAGAGTATTAGTACACTTATGTATACGGTGTGGCATGTTGACAAACATAAAATTACACTTAAATTAGTTATCAATCACTGGACTAATGAAATCTTGTAGCATTTTGTAGTTTCCTCAGACCAACATCATTAAATTAATTTGTGCTAATTTTCATTGACATATCCCATGCTGATCATCAAAAACTTATGTTATTCAGCGTAAAATTGATTGTTGTATTATTAAATTGATTTTAATGATGTTGGTTTGAAAAAAACAGCAGCGAGAAAAATATTTATGCATTGTAACTCACCATAGAAGTCAGATGAGTAGGGGAAGAAGCAGAAGGATGTCAACTTGCCGGCGAAACACTTATTATTACATACACACGCCAAATAATTATATATGTAAAGTATGTAATTTGATAAATAAAAATGTATGAATCTCTCAGTTCTGAACACTACTTCCAACACTAATTAATATTTTGATTTTAAAGATGCAGCACTTTAACACAGCAATTATAAGTTACTGGAAAGTTAAACTTAGTTTCTTTTATCACAACTGAGTTTGGAAGGTTTTAGTTAGGCTAGTGAGACTTCTGTTTCTGTTTTCTGTCCGTTAGCTTATTAATTCTGGGATGAATTGGAGAGCCAAACGGAGACAGTCAGAAAGTTGCAGGCAGTTCCTCTGTTTCGTTTTAAGCACAGTCATGGCAGAAAATTCAGTTTCACAAATATATGTGGTGGAAAAACAAAGAAGAAACCTCACTGATATTTCATGTAAATTTGGATATTCATTTTTCATTCTTATCCAGAATTTCGAATTACTCGTAGTATTAAAAGTACTTTCCAGTCCTTTGTCCGATGATAATTCAATAAGTTGAAGGGTTTCTTCATGGGAAAGGGCTGTCTCTTTGTGTTCAACAAAAGGGTTCACAATCCACATATTTTGCCTCCGGGGATCCTCATGTTCGAGATAATATTTTTCAAACAACATCTTCACTCAGGTTTCGAAACAAGCACTTACACAGTGCAATGCGAACTTGCGAAGAAACAGTATTCAGTATTACTAGAGTTGAGAGCCGGATACAGACTGCCTTGATCTTCAATTTCAGTGGAAACAGTTTCTTTATACTTCCTTGCTGACTGGTCACTGACATTTGCAACACAGATGTTATTTCGCTCAGTTCTGAGAACAGAGGATATGCCGCCCATTGTTGTAATCGGCTTGCAGGCAATTTTTATGACTGGTCATAAAAATCGGTATTGCCTTTCCCGAATGTTGAAAGATTTGGATGTCTGAAAATTCCCGATCATTCATGAATACTTCCATGTTTAAAAATATGTGGCTTGGTCACTGACATTTGCTGCACAGATTTAGGTGTTCTGTGTCTGAGCTTCTCGACACAAATATTGTTCTCCTAAGAATATTTCCACTATAAAATATTTATTCATGAAAAATGATTAGAAAATGAAAATGACAAATTCCAGAAGAGCCTCCCGCGGCTCAGTATAATTGATGCCAGGGCCCACTATTGGGCCGCGGCCCGGCGGTTGAGAAGCACTGGTCTAGATAATGTGGGACCCTCAACGTCTCACAATCCTATGGGCCTTCATGGCCTGGTACAGGGACAGCTTTACTTTTTTTTACTTTATTAGCACAACTTTCGATTTACCTTTCCGGACAACGGTAATAATTAAATCCCCTCCGGTCCGGGCCTCGTATATTTTGGACACTTAGCACCATTGTCATAGTACCAATCGTCGAATTTGAAGACACAGAATTGTTAAGAACGTCAGGAAGTGCTGATGTGACTTTCATCATGACGGAAATTTAATTGTAAATCGTGTCAAGTATGGGGTTATGAAAGTGGCGAGTTCGCTTACGCAGACTGTCACAATTTGCCTCGCAGTTAAAGCAAAACGAACGTGACGGACGCCTCGTGTAACGATGATGACAATAATCAGCCGATACCACTTCGTTCCCTTCCACTAACTCTACTGGCTCTACTGCTGTATTCTGAGGACATCAGTAGAAGAAAGAGTAAGGTTGTCTTAAGAGCAGGGACGTACTATATAAAAAGGTCAATTGGTAAATGAACTGTTTCAGAGGTTATTTTAAGCGGCTACTGACGTTTTACGTTCTGTGGTGTGAAAACTGTGGCAAAGTTGGAACACATTTCTTAAGTTCCTGACCGCAAGCGAAATATTTTCGGGCTCAAATATCAGTGTTAATAAATTTTCAGCGGAAATTTGTCACCCAGGCTGGGAATGGAATCCGGGTCTCCTAGTGGCCGTGCAGGTTCGATTCACAGTATGGAGGGCAGGCATCATTAACCCACTATACCGTTTCTGTTTTAATTTTCAGTCAGCATCAGAGTGATGTCATATTTGAGCAGAACGGTATGGGCAGGGGCCAAGTACCCCCCCAGAAATGTGATCATAAACCGAAACTTCTCAAGGACTTTCCCAAGGAGTGAAAAACCATCAGAGCCTGTTACAAAACCCGATGTTTCAGTCCGTAAGTTTTTAAAATGAAACATCCGCATTGGTTTTTGTGGGCAGGACTCCAAGCACTGTTCTAGTTAGTGTGTACATTACTTCATGTGTCTATTGTGCCATTTCATTGGTTTTTATTCCACAGAAGTGCTTGTTTGTTTGATGTTCTGTACATAAGTTAGGTCACATTAGTTTGAAAATGTTGAATTGCAGCCCATAATTCATGATTAAAATAACATAACCTCTATCCAGACGCAGGGCTGGTCTGACAGAAGGCTACCACCCACATTCCATTGTGATTAGAGTTCTGTTGTGGAAATAAACATTAGTTTACTTATAATACTGAAATTTCCAACATATATCAGCGTGATTATGTTATTTGAATGATCGTGTGCAAGTCCTCACTGATTATAAGTTATCCAAACCACAGGCAGTGAGCTGCTGGTTATCCAGTGTCTCCTGGACATGTCCAACAATCCTGTTTAATTTGTCAGTTATGGCCCGTATGAGTTCATATAGCAGTAATGCCATCCTTACTAGCATTTAGACCTTGGCTTTATTATTGCCATCCTGTTTGGGAATTGTAACGATTTTCATCAGTCCCTCCAAAAATAGTACTTTAGAATAAGTAATGACATGACAGCCTCCTAAATTCTTACCTATTCTGAATTCTTTAATCTTCCCAGCATATTCAATGCCATATATCCTGCATCTGAACTAGGCTAGGTACCCCCAACTTACATCACTGTGCATTAATGTAATTTCATGCTTTTTAGTGAAGGCAAAGTAAATTTGTCTAAATTAAAAAGAATTCCATGGCATTAAAGTCAAATGAATTACATATTATCCAGTGAAAATTAAAGATGGTGTAACCAAAGAAGCAACAAAAATTCTGACTCCTTTGACCACTCTTGGAAATAGAACTACTGCATGGATCAATTATTTTGACTGCCATTACAAAGGGACACAGAAATGAAACTTACATAACAAAGACAATAGTGATCACGGATTATATCTTGATTCTGTTTATTTGTAGTGTTCATCATATCTATTTCTCAGCACATGGTACAATAAAGCAATGAAGGCATAGCTACTGAAGGTCAGTTAGTTATTGCAGTAAGACAGACGAGTTAATCTACTATATTATTAAAGGATGAACATGTTGGTATTTTTATACTGTAACTTTGAAAACAATGCAGTTTACAAACAAACTTTTAGCTGGTCAACTTCAGTACCAAATTTAATGTAAATTCTACTACACTGATGAACTTTGCTATTTGTTCAACAGGAATAGTAACCCACACAGTAAAGCCATATCAAAAATATGCTTTGGTGTGGGCTGGGACATACAAATCAATTGCTGATATTCCAGATAGAGTTTCGTAAGTAAAACAGTCCTAATATGTTTGTTTGATGTGGTTCAATATAATGAACTGCTTTCATAGACAGGAAGAGACAACAGTCACTGTCTGTTTACTATAAAGCCTTGGCTTGTTAATTTCTAAACTTAGAGCCATCTCTGATGATTCAGTAATTTTGTCTTCACTTCTGTGTACAAGTGAGCAGGTTTTCTTTCTAGTGAAGTTCTTAGGAACAGAACAGGATAAAATATAGCAGTTGAAAGTTGATTCACAGACAGATATGATAACTTACTTGTATGCTGTAACTTTTGAAAGGATTGAGAAACAGGACCAGCTTCAAATCCTGTATGACCAAACTGTTTATCAGAGTTTAATGGAAATTGGTTCAAGTACGAGGATTATTTTGAGAAATAAACATGCAAGCACAGGCTACTGTTTCACAAAGAAGAAAGGATACTGAGCTGTAGTTAGTAGGAACTGAGATGTTTCAGTCCAGAATAGGAAATGAGGCTAGTTAGTAAGTACAGATGTGTTTGTAATGTTTCTCACTATCTTCTAGTCTAGATAAATGTAAAATCTTTGTAAGAAAATGTTTATAGTGCACTGCTCATTTTCTTTTAATGCTTAAAATTATACATGCAACTCAGTGACTAGACTGTATGTGTATTTTGATATATCTATTTTCAAAGGGACCATTTCCACATCATAGGTTTATTACCTATATGGATATATGGAAAATAAAGGAAATGAATGAATGAATGAATGAATGAAACATGTGATTCTCTGGAAGACTGTTACCAGCATTCTGGAAGAATCAGCTGCCTCATCTACAGGGCAATGAAAATGGAGGCAACAGGTTCCTTTGAAATGGTAACAGCCTAGGGTCAGCATCAGAGGCTTGTGTGTCAAAAAGGAGATTGCTTTGTATACATTAATTTCTAGTAGTAATATTTGAGCATCATGTTGCATTGATGCATTACTCATTTATTCAGATCTGTCTTTAATGCAACTTAAAACTGTTCACAATCTCTCTTTAATTAAAAAAAAAAAACATTAAAATCACTTCAATTGCTACACGTTTTCGCCACACTTCGCCATCTTTGGGGATATATGCCCAACTAGTGAGTACATACATATAAAGGGGGCATAAATATGGATGCTGCAGAAGGGAAATATCATGCAACAGAGGGACACTTTTGTTCTCAAACAAACATATTCTAGTGCAATGATAATGCAAGAGCATGGAAATATATTGACTTAAGATTTAGTGCAGTGCAATGGTTTCAAAAAGCAAACAGTTGCTTGAAGATGGCCAAGTAAGGCTGAAACAAGTAGCAATTGATGTGATTTTAATGTTATTTTATATTAAAGAGATTATGAACATTTCTAGTAGTAACATTGATGGCCTTATAGGGCTGAAACATGTAGGAATATTTTATCCAATAGATACAGTTCATAACTACTCCATGTTATACTTGATGGCTTCTATTATCAGTTCCTACATAGTGTGGCCTGTTAGGAGGAGTTAATCCAGATTGTCAGAAACATTTAGACTCAGCCTGAATTATGATTTGCTAGAAGAGAAGCTTACCGGTCACGGTAGCCGAGTGGTCTAAGGCATGCACTGTCTTCGCTCACTCAGAAGCCGGGATCGTGGGTTCGAATCCCACTCAGGGCATGGATGTTTGTG